AGAGAGAGAGAGAGAGAGAGAGAGAGAGAGAGAGTACAACAAAGTGGATATGTAACCCGTGTGCCAAAGCATAATATGAGGATTTTGTGAGCATAATGCGAGAATCCATGAAAGCATAATTCCATGATTGCGCGAGCATAATCCGCCGGAGCCTACCTTGCAGACAAAGTAACTTAGTTGCTAAAGTAGCTTCTGTGTACTGTTCAGACTTCGTCAGCTTCCAAACCCACTGCACAGCTGATTCACGCTTTGGTGAGGATTCGTTCAATATGTGTGAACTCCGCACTACTGTGCACCATGCCAATCAATAGCCATGGTTAGCATTTTACCGTTCACGCTAACTTCGACCGTATGTCAGCCTGTACAGGTTTGTGTGTGTTTTCAAGTCACTGTTTAGCAGTAATTTTCCGTTTCTGACGGACTTGTGACGTAACCCTAGTTGGAATCTTACCGTTTCGTTCTCCCGCTATACAGAGCTTTCTATCGTCGAAACGGTACCAAACCGACGGTATTTTGGGTGTTGGGTACGAGTACCGTTGGATTTAGCGCAAACGGTGAAATGCTAACCATGTCTACACACACAAAAAACGGTACTGGCCGACCGTCGAATATAGCGTGAACGGAAAAATGCTAACCATGTCTAATAGTGGCATGCACGCACGCACACCCATCGCCTTTCTCTCCTCCTAGACTATACACCACGAGTTTGTCACATTCCAGTTCGTCTGCTGGTGTCAGTGCAGCAAGTAGTTATCAGTTACCGCAATGGAACCGGCCAATATCAGTTCTTCTCTTCCTATCCCTAGTATTATACGTGCTCGTGTGCGTGTGCGTGTTCACCTGTCTGGTTGTAGCTGTACAACTTGTAGTTAACATGGAGCCGAAGGAGACTGGCTCCGACTCTAGTGCAGCCGTTCAGACATCAGCTGCTAGTACCTCCAGTACCAGCAGCAACATTGGCACTGACGGCAGCGACAGCGGCCACACACCGCCACCTGCGAGGCCGCATTTTCGCCACAAGCAGGCCAGGCCCAAGACCAGCAGCTGGACCACCCTCAGCGCCATTAGCTCTTCATCGTTAAGCAGTGGCAGTAGCAGCAGCGGCAGCGCTAGTGATGCCAGTGGCAGCAGCAGCGCTAGTGATGCAAGTGGCAGCAGCGGCAGCGCTAGTGATGCCAGTGGCAGCAGCAGCAGCGCTAGTGATGCCAGCGGCAGCAGCAGCAGCAGCAGCAGCGCTAGTGATGCCAGTGGCAGCAGCAGCAGCGGCAGCGCTAGTGATGCCAGTGGCAGCAGCAGCAGCGCTAGTGATGTCAGCGGCAGCAGCAGCGCTAGTGATGCCAGCGGCAGCAGCAGCAGCGGCAGCGCTAGTGATACCAGTGGCAGCAGCAGCAGCGCTAGTGATGTCAGCGGCAGCAGCAGCAGCAGCAGCGCTAGTGATGCCAGTGGCAGCAGCAGCGCTAGTGATGCCAGTGGCAGCAGTAGTGGTAGCAGCGGTAGCAGCAGTAGTAGTGGCAGCAGCGACACCAGCAGCAGTGCCAGTAGTAGCTCGTCAGCCAGCGACACCAGCAGCAGTGCCAGTAGTAGCTCGCCAGCCAGCTCCTCTGAGGATGAGGCCGGAAAGGCGGCAGCATCCCTGAGTTCGGCTACTGCCAGCACAAGCACATTTGGTAGCAGTAGCACCAGCGCCAGCATGTCTACATCCGACACACTTCAGACCAGAAGTGTATCATCCAGCTCCAATACCGGCAATACCGGCATGTCATACACTTCAAAAAAACGTCACAGGACTGAGACGTCGTCCATTCGAAGCACCTTTGAGTTATCTGCTACCGACGATGCTCCGGCGGCAGCGGCAAAGCGTGTCCGCATGGCACCCACCGTATCACCAGTAACAGCAGCGGCGGCAGTGGTGGCATCGGCGGCGGCAGCATTGGCGGCGGCGGAAGCATTGTTGGTGGCGGAAGAATTGGTGGCGGCGGAAGCATTGGTGCCGGCGGAAGCATTGGCGGCGGCGGAAGCATCGGCGGCGGAAGCATCGTCGGCGGCCTGGGGTGACCAGGCCATGGATTGCACGCCAGTACGGTGCCAGACCGGGCGCAAACGCCGCAGTCGGTTGGGCGACACGGTGCTGGAGAAGTTGCTGAATTCTGATAGCAATGGCAATGATGGGGATGATGAAAATGAAGATGAGGATGATGAAAATGACGAGGAAGAGGAGCAGAATGGGGAGGGTAGTGATTCAACATCTGCTTCATCATGCGATGCCGACTCTGAGATGTAGCTACTCGACAGTCTATAGACACTGCTCCAGTGGACAGTAATGATCTGCCACTGGTGTGTGTGTGTGTGTGTGTGTGTGTGTGTGTGTGTGTGTGTGTGCGTGTGCGTGCGTGTGTGTATATGTGTGTGTTTGTGCATGTGTGTTGCAGGCATGTTAGTGTTGATAGCTGCACAAACGCCTGCCATGCACCCTGGTCGTCTTGTCACCGGTCACACAATGTAAATCTAGAAACCAAATCTTGCTGCAACTGGCACCTGCGGGTGCGCTCTGTAAATTCAAGGCTATCAATTTACCCACCAGTGAGCCATTTTGGTGCAGTCCTGGACCGCATGCAGTCACATGCTATGACCGAGAGTTCAGGGAAGGACGCGCCCGAGGAAATACAGGACAGCGATGCATTGCTACGTTTCTTGGCTAGTCGGCGGGCGATTCGGAAGGAGTTGGAATGCCAGCAGTGTGAATGCTCTGCAAACCTGCAGCAAAATTAATCCAGCTGCGTCGGCAGCTATCGCTGGGAGTCGCCTGAGTACAGGTGTTGGTGGTCCGTGTGAACTGGATCAAGCCTTTTGAAGAATTCAAGAAGTGCCATGGAGATTGTGTCCAGTTTCTACTCCCTCCTTGGTTTGCCAACGCCGCTAAAAAACTAGTTCGTCTCGACACTAGAGGTCATCCGATATACGAGACTTTCTAAAGTGGGTGCTGGCAACGAGCTGTAACTGGCTAGAAAGGGGTTAACGACTTGGTGATGCTTATCCAATGTTTGTGGATATTTGCGTGCCGGATGAGCCCGGATCTGCGATCTGTATAGCCGTCGAGGGAACTACTCGATTGGCAGTGGCACAGGCAGCACATTCAGTGGCCTCTTTGCACAAGTTTTTGGGGAAAATGGTCTGCCCCAGGAGCCGAGATATTTTCAAACATTCCTCCATCGCCAGTTCTCTCATCAGAAGCCCTACACGTGCCTATGTACGTGTGAATGTGGGGAACCAACCTTCAATATCAGCAAAGTTCAAAGAACACTTTGATGCCATTGCCAGTTTTGTCGACGACCTTTACGAAACCCACACACAAGACTTCTAGAATTGAAAACAAAAGGACTGGACTTTGGTGATTCCGCTAAAGTTCAGTCGTTGGAACAGTGCTTCACAAAATTTGCAAACAAGAGCCCTATCAGCTATAGCCTAGGCCTACTGAATGCTTCCTCAGCTGTGTGCGTGACAAAGCCCCATACCCAACCTAACCGGTAACTGGTGAATTGGTTTAGTTGAAAATGTCAGATGTTTTTTATCGTGTATCCATGCACCTAGTTACCCATATTGTACACAAAAAAACGCTGGCAATCGTTTCGATCACTTGTCTTTCTTTGTGTGGGATTAGCATCCTTCCCTCATTGTTGATGACCTGAGGTGTAACATGGTCATAAACGTTTAGCTCGCACTAACAGCTACATGTACATAATATACACACGACATAAACTAAAGTGCTGTACTTTCGTTTCACTACAGTTTTGTTTTGTTGAGTTTTGTTTGTGATTGACCCGTGTATTGTTAACCGGCTTTGTCTCCATGGATGCTGTAATATTGGCTCGTCTTCAGCTTGAAACACACACTCCTCTCCTTCTCCTTTCTTCGTTATGCGAATGATTTCATCGAAATAATGGGGACAAGTCTGAGGGCCGCAGATGCTAAGCGAAGTCCTGTCCGCTGAGCAGCCAATCAGCTGGCTCCATTCCATGGCAACGGGTCATGTGACGTGGGAGATTCTTCTTCCAGAGATCTCTTAGTCTTACTCTTCCGATGATGGTCTCGCCAGTCAGCGTGGTCAGTGTAGTGGTTCAACAAGCACGCCAGCAGGCGTGAGGCCAAAAACATACTCGAACTTGGGACTTCCGTGTGGCGTGCTGCTTGCTCTTGCCTCTTGGATTAAGATCCAGCCACACCAGGATACGATCCTCGCCATGAATTCTGACATGTTCTCGGCTGAACACATTTACTTCACACGAGGGAACCTTGAAATTCCAGGCTTTCACGGCACCCTGCTTCACACGTCCCTGCGTGCAGACTACATGACTGATAGACTGCCAGCTAGGTCGCCTCTTGTACGGGGGAAAACAACACAATGAATGCAATGCTCGAAAATGTAATGAAAGCAAAATACACAATGCAACCTGAATTGGTCACGGTGAAACTCGATATAATACAATGTAGACCACAAGAAAAATGTGGGCACAAGTTTTGCGATCGAGTCCACCAACTAAACCAGATTTTGAACGGTCAGACGTGCACAATCTAGCACAAAACTGACAAGGAGTACTGA